GCAACGTGAATACAGGCTGGGCCTCTGATGCGGGCCGGGCAACGCTGGACCTCTAATTTGGGTTGGGCAATTTAATTTTTTTTTTACGATATCTTTTAAAATATTATCCATAGGTTGACATTACCGCGGCATTTCGGCGATATTTTAATAAATCATCAATAAGGGGGTAAAAACGATTTTCCCCTATGTGTTGACCGACATTTAGAACATTGGTGTATGTGTCATCTTTTTGTGTATATTTGAAAGGTAGATATGTCATCTTTTTTGTGTATTTGAAAGGTAGATATCCAAATTTTGTGATCCATTTTTTTTTCTTTTTGAACAATAAGTTTCGTTAAATTTTTAATATCAATTTAAATATCACACGAGTATATGATTTATTTTCTATTTATAATTTATGTGGCAATGTGATAGTGACCATGTTAGAAAGGGGTGGGTAAAGACAGTTAAAACTAAAGTTTAACCAAATTATAGAAATCTTCAAAAAAAAAAAAAAAAAAAAAAAACTATGTAAACCACATTGTAATTTATATTACCATAGTCACAGGGTTCAAATTAAAGCCAAGTATAAACTATAAAGACCAAATAATAATTCAGCAAAARTTATATGGACTAAATTTGGTAATTTAACATGATTTTAAATATAAGTTTGATTCGAACATGAGTATAGTTTAACGATTTAGATATGTATTGCCAAAGCAAGCACGGRTCAACGGTTATTGACATATATCTCAAATCAAGAGGTTGCGAGTTCGATCTTCCACCCCGCATGTTGTACTAAAGAAACTATTTAGATATGTCATGAAACAATCTCTAATTGGTAAATTGGGAGGAAGGCGCTAAACCCCCAAATTTTAGAAACCTTCGTTCTTCTTCCTCGTCTTTCTTTCCTTCCCCCGACCGTCGGGTTTCCCTCCTCCGAACCTCTGTTCCTCTTCTCCGACTATCGTCGTTGTCTCCCTTCCTCTCCGGCGGCTTCGCTTTTCTTTATCGCAGATTATTTCATCTCCGACCGCCTTCGCAAGAGCATTTCCTTCTGTCGGTTCTTATTCTCCGGTAGTTTCTGCCTGCATTCATCTCCGATTGACGTCCTCTATTTTTCTCAGTCGCCAGAGCAGTTCATCTCCAATTTGAAGGGTTTGCACTCCATCTGATAAGTTTCAATTTCTGATTTTGTTTGTTTGAAATATTGTATATGTGAGGATATATAGTATAGTGATTAGATTAGGATATATATTATAACYCAAGTTTTATATATCTGGATATATACTGATGGTGATTTAAAACTAAAAATCTGGTGGATATATACCGTTAGTGATTTACATCTTGGCTTTTTGATGTTTCTGTTATTTTGTGGATATATACTGATAGTGATTTACATCTTGGTTACCTACAATATTATTCTGATGGACATATACTAATAGTGATATATACTGATGGTGATTTACATACTGCCTATAATATTTACATACTGCCTACATCCTGAAAGTGTCTTATGGTACCTATCTAGCTCTAAGTATTAACTAGTTTGAATTAGAGTAATAACTAAAAGAGAAAGTTGTAAGATATCAAAGTTTATATGGGATTTAGATTATATCTGGATAAATTTTATATCTCGAAAAGTTTAGTCTATGTTATACTGAATATATTGTATATTTAATATGTTATACTTACTACCCTGTTATAGAATYTCATGGATATAGTGATAAAAGTACATTTAGTACTTACACGGGTATAAATTATATCTTACTTAAAAGGCGTTTATACATAATGTTAATAGTATATATCAAAAGTACCAGTATAATATATGTTATAGTAACGAAACAACATGAACATAATTTATACCCATGTATAGAAATAGCTAAACTGTAATTTAAAAAAAGAAAATAACATTCATTCATACCCATATTTTCTTCGATGTATAGATAAACTGTGTTTTTCTTCTCCTTTGAATATTGACATCAATCAATATGTGCTTCCCGTTAATTATCTTCTGTTAAAGGATATTAACACAAAAAAATAATAATAATTAGACATTTGAAAACCAGCGGAGCCATAGATGGCCACAAATACAGTAGAAATAAGACCTTGTCAAATTAATCAGTATCTAAACCTCATAAAATTGATTTCATTAAAACAAACCTTGCACTCAAATAACACAATAAAATAATGCGAACGACAGTGCAAATATTCAAGCAATATGGGTATGAATGAACGAATGAATGAACTGTACTTGTTGAAATATTCAAGCAATTAAATAAAAAACTAAAACTCAAGGAATGGGTATAAAAAAGAACCGTATCAGCCAAGCAGTATCAGCCAAGCAGTAGTAGAAATGAGGATATGAGAAGATGTTGCGCCCACAATAATTAAGATTTGGATATTTTTTAATTAATAATATTGATAAATAAACAAAATCAATCTTTTTKAATGAGTAAATTAAGGYGTTAAAAGGGATGAATTAACATATTTGAATTGAAAATTAATATAAGGCTCACAGTAATTATTGAATTATTATAATCATTTATGAAATTAAATTTTTTATATTTCAAAAAAAGTAAATAACTATAATAAATGTAAATGCAATAATTAGGGGTAAATTCGGAATTAAAATAAAATCCTACTGCAGAAATCTAAAAGTGTAAAATTAGAAAATTTTAGACATCTATGTAAATAAGTTTATAAAATAGTCATCCGAAGATATTATCTCTTAATATAAATATGTTTAGCGAACTTGGTCGGGAAGATTACAATTATAAATTGTAGATCTAAAACTTTATATTTGGGGAGTTGTATAAAAATAATTTGAACACATTTGATATAAATTTAGTTTATATATTTTGATACTAAATTGGTTAAGTTACAAAATTTTGTTTCTTAAAGTTTCAATATCATATTTAATAGATTTCTGAATTCAAAAAAAGAAAAAAAAATTTAATAAATTCTTAAACTTTCAATTTTGCATCTAATAAAACTTATGAACTTAATATATATAAATAATCTCACATACACACTAGTACAATCTATAATATATATTGTTCAAGTAAGGTCGTTTGAACTTAAAAAAAAAAAAAATCTAATAATGGAATATCTATCCAACATAAAATTGGAAGCTTGGTAGCTATTAGATTCCAAATTTAAAGCTATGAATCTAATATTTGCAAAGATGTATTTCAATAAAATAATTACGAATAACATTTTAAAAGAAAAGTATTAAAGTAATAATTATGAAGTATATAAATCAATGCTTACCTATAAATTACATAATAATTACTAATTTCAACCTACCCTATCAATTTACTATAATCATAATAATTATATTAATTTACATGTGTTCTAATTTTCTATAAGTTGTTTTTTAGTACAATACGTGGGAGTAGGAGATCGGACTCACAACCTCTTGGTTAAAGATATATGTCAATTACCGTTAAGCTAGACTCACTTTGACAATTTTCTATTAATTGTTAATTTTATAATATTTTATCTAAATTATGCGAGATTTATTGTTATGCTTCAATAATATATTAAACCATAATTGCTTACCACAAAAACACTCATTCAAAAAAAAAAAAGACTACTGTCGCAACGTCATCGCAACGCGGAGCGGTCGACGTCATCCCCTGAAGGGTCTCTTTCGAGGGTTTGGAGTCGCCACCAATCATCCACGAGGTGTGATTAGTCACCTATAAATAAAGACAATGCTATGGAAACAGAATTTTTTGTTCGGGAGTCGACTGAACATAGGGAATGTGTTAGCACCCTACAAACACCCGTTTGAAAACGGTACCATCTTTTGTCAAAAAACTATCCTATTATTTTTATTTGGTCCAAAAAAATATTTTTGTATTTTGATTGAAATGTCACGTTATATTAATTCACACTTTGTTATAAGATACGAAGTAATATGTATGAGTGGCACGAAGRCGATTAGAAAAATTTTATCACCTCGAGAATATTGAAAGGTTCCAATTTTCGTCATTGGAGTTTCGACAAGGACTCAAAATTGGGCCACAAATGTTAATACCAAACTTGGGCCACGATTTGTCAACACATTAGGATACAATTTAAGTTTATTTTT